TCATGTCCACTCACGTTCCAATAATCAAAAACGAGTCATTTGGCCAGCCACCATTTGTGGGGCAAGAACAAATATTCCTCCCAGGGTGGGCTGGGGTGGTAAGGGGGTTCAGTGTTTGCTGAACGACAATACAATCTCCCACAAAAAGTCACATAGGTATTTGTGTGGATTGAATTGTGTCCCTCCAAAATATGTGTTGAAGTCCTAACCCCTGTACCTATAAATATGATCCTGTTTGGAAATAGGGGTTTTCTTTTGTTGTGTTAATGAGGTCATACCAGAGTAGGGTGGGTCCTTAATCACTTCTGAATTATAAAAAGAGCAGAATAGACACTGAGACATACACTGGGAGAAGACAGACACCAAGGAATGTTAAGGAACCCCAAGGAACTTCAAGGAACCCCACAGAACTCCTGGGACTACCAACAAGGAAGAATCCTCTGTCTAAGCCCTATGCCCTGATGTGGACTTCTAGCCTCCAAAATGTGAGACAATAGATATTTCTATCCTTTAACGCTATCTACTTGTAGTATTTTTTGTTATGGCAGCACTAGGAAACTAAGACCACATTTAATGAACAACTCTTCAATAATGATTTGATTATTATAAATGATACATTATTATGACCATGATTGAACAACAATAATATTAATATCAATGTCTCACACTATTCTCTGGGAGCTTCAGTAAGCTCCATTTATTCTCAGAAATTCTCTCTAGGGTGAAGTGTATAGGCAGGAAAAAGGGTGAGTGAAATCCAAGGTTATACAATAAAGAGAGCTGGGAATAAATGGAATGAAGCATCATCTTTCTCTATCTTTAATTCATCTGGATGAACACGTTTGCTTTCTGTTTATAGTAGGAGCATGTGGCCAGGGCAAACTGTCTGTCATCTTAGCCCCAGAAAGCTGATGTGATCTTTCTGTGTCTCAGGTGGCCTCCTCTGCGGGATTCCTGGAAGGATGATAACAGCTTTGTGGTTCCCCTGGGAGAGGGACCTGCACTGGGCAGGTTCTGAAGAAGTGGTGAAGCCACCTCCTTCCTCCCAGCACTCTGTAGGAGCCGGGCTGCTGCAAAGGGGTGCCTGGATCCCTCCCAGGGAAGGAGGGTCAGACAGTATGGGAGGAGGAGTTATTTAGGAGTAGGATGGGAGGAATCAAGAAGACTGATGATGTATATGCTGCTGTGAATATAGAACTGCGTTTGTATTGTCCACAAATGTGGTTCAGCGTTTCATCAAGCAGAGCTCTGAAGTATTGCTTCTAGCTTGGGTTAATCATTATCCTAGTGATTTTTTACTTAGCATTTCAATCAAGGTGCAATGGAATAGAAGTCTATAACTTTAAAACAGCGTTCCGAATCAGAATGCACACTCTATTTTCCTGTTATATTGGTATGGTCTCATTATTGAAAAAAGAAATTTGATAAAGGATTCTACATTCCCCTTTGGCCTGCACTGCCGGATCTCTGCTTTCATTGTCTAAATATTGTGTCTAAATATTACTTTGAAATGTATACTATGAACATGTGGTCAGATCTTCCTCTCTGTGACCTTACTCCCAGAAACTACTGTCATCTCTAAAGGTATTTTAAGACTTACATCACTGTCTTATGAGACCCATTGCTGTCGAGTCATTGTAGAGTGTTAGCTTAGCTGGGTATAATGTTGACACTCAACCTACTGCATTTCTGGGTGACCCCTGACCCTAGGACAGCAATCCAAACAACAGCCTGCTTGGATTGACTGCTCTGAATGCTACACAGAGAACCAGGAGAGAGGAAGCTGAATTTCCCAAGTCCTGAGCCCTTGAGGTTTCCTTCCAAACATGGAAGGTGAGCAAGTCTACCTTTTGCAAGCACTGAGAATCAATGGGCCCTTTTGCTACCTAAGTTACATACTTCTCTTATGATTTCATTCTGATTCTGTGATATAAACTCCTTCCAAATTTCATTCTAGAACCTTCTCCTGAGTGGCATTATTCTCCCAATTATTGTTTGGTTCATCTGCATATAGATTTTCTTATTATAATGCTTTTACAGTAAGGAGAGGGGTCCAATTGCCAGATCAAAGACAAGCGAATATGTAATAAAGCTTTGAGGCTATTGTGTTCTCGGTGGCTATCACTACAGTGCTTAAAAGAATGAAAATTACTACCCAGTTCTGTCTATCTTTGCTTCCTGTTTTGTTTTGTTTTCTCTCTCTCTCTTTCCAAAATCAGCTTCTCCTGAATTTATTAACTGTCAACTTCTCCTCTCTTATCTTGATGTATTTTTCTTTCTCCTAATTCAACAAATTCCTGTCTGATAATTCTTCCTACTCAACATATAGAATTCTAGATTGGCAGTTGTGACTTTAAAACTGAAGTTATTATTTTACTGTATCTATTACTACTAATCTGGTATCTATTACTACTAATGAAAAATCTGCTATTTAGTAACCAGTCCTTTAGAGGTAATCTGTCTATCTTCTCTGATTGTTTTTAAAACACTCTTTTCACCTTTGATGTTCTTCAATTTCACTCCAATATGATTAGACGGAGCCTAATTTTTATTTATCCTATTATTATTCTTTTATTCCTCAAATCTGGAAAATTCTCAGTTTTTCAACCACAAGTTCATATCTTCAATTGCTTTCTCTCTCTTTACTGTGTTCTAGAGAGAACAAGTGGGGATTCCTCAGTTTTATCTTACTAATTTTCTTTCTTTCAAAGAGAGAAAAGATGAAATAGTTTTATTCTATCCTTCAAGAGTTGTTAAAATTTAATGCCTCTATTTGCCATTTCTATAATTTCAAATTGGTTATTTTTCATGTACACATGTTCCTGATGCATATATTTCTGCTGTCCTTATTAATTGCTTTTTTAAAAAAATCTTTATCTCCCTAAGAATTTAAAAATTATTTATATTATAGCCATTTTCAGTGTGTTATACTATATTAGGAGTCAGGAGTACATTCTGATTGCTGAATTTGTTGGCCAATATTGGTTTCTGTTCCCCTGGTTTCTGTTGTATGCTGAGTTTTTTAGTTTGCAAACGTGTCTTGGACAGAAAAGTTTAATTTTTCCTCTATAACCATCCTAGGGATTTTAGCAGTTGTGCTGTTTCCCTCATGGCCCATCTGCATGGCTTCACAGAAGCCCCAGTTCCTATATGGACAGCTTAGGGTTTCTGTCCTTCAGCGATATTAAAAACCAGTTGCTGTGGAGTCGTGTGTGTCAGAGTAGAACTGTACTCCATAGGATTATCACTGGCTGATTTTTCAGAAGTAGGTTGCTAGCCTTTTCTTCCAAGATGCCTCTGGGTAGACTTGAACCCCCAACCTTTTGGTTAGCAGCCAAATACATTCACTGCACCACCCAGGGACTCCACAGTGATATTAGGTTCATCTAAGATCAAGTTCTGGAGCCATTGGTGGCTTGGCCTGGTTTTGGCTTGAATGTCTGTGTCTGCTGAGCAGCCTTTGCAGCTGCCCCAGATTCAACAGTCTCATCATAAGCCCCAGGTTTGTGTAGTAGCCTGGCTCTCATCCTCTGCACGTATGGAGAGTCTTTGGTGCAATGACCCCTCAGGAATGCAAGAGGACCCCTCTGCCTGTCTCTACTTCTGAAGGCTGGAGGCCTGTGGATTCAGCTTCCAGCTTCAGTCCCCACATTTCTGTGTTTCTGATCCATGAAGCTATGCATATTTATTCTGACTTTATTTTTTAGGTTACCTATTATCCTAATTGGGGGAGGGAGACAGGGTTTAAAGCTTGATCTCACAGTGCCATCCTGAGGGTGACTGGTCTCTCTATTCGGAATGAATTAGAACCACCCTCCTCCCTGACAGATGAAAGGCCAGGGGCCATGGGGTTCCTTAGGTTCCTAATACCAAGGCATAGGAAGTGGGGAACACAGCCTTTCTCCTCTCACAGGGCAGGGTGGCCTCTCACTGCTCCTTTGGAGTGTTTTGTCATTGGTGTTGACTGCTGTTCTCGTTGCCCAAGTAACTAGTAAACTATGTGCTATAAAAAGAAACCCATATAAAAAGTGAATAAATCGCTAGTTGAATCTAGAACATTCCTGCTGATTAATGTGAAAGCTTTTTCCTGCTGCAGGGATTCAAAAATAGAATGTATTCAGTACTACATTGTTCAGAACACTTTAAAAAGATTCCCTTTAAAAATACCTCCAGGTATACATTTAGGAGAAAACAAGTAACAACAAAGAAAAAGACCATCTTTCCTAGGAAATCAAAGCTAACATATTTGTTATCAGTTGCTATTTATGTCAGGTTAGAGATAATTTATTCCTCTTTATTTATGATTATGTAACAACCCACAATCAAGGTATTCTCTTGCTCCGACCTAATTCCAGAGATCTACATCAAAGATGTTCCTCCTCCAAGTGATGCATCCCTGAGTGACCACAGTGACCTGCTCTCATATCCAGGGGATTAGCCAGGTATGGGTCTGATCCTTAATAGTAACTAACCAGGCCTTGACATACCTGTAGTCATTCATTCCTCAATATTGATTGTCTGGGAATACTAAGATCTTTCAAACTTACAGTTACACATTGAACAGAGCAGGTGCCAAGTTCTTTCTGTAACAATAACAAGTAATGAAGCAACGAGTTGCATGCAAATGGATTTCATCTATGGTGATAGTTGTGCTAATGTATGCACAGATTGCTAATGAGGATCACCGAACAGGAAGAGGATTTCTCTTCTGCTCAATACAAAATCCCCAAGGTGGCAGTATTTAAACTGGACACCGAAGGGTGGGGAGAACTTCACCTGTGGAAATGGACATTGTCTTCAGCCTTTCATATCTAAAGGGAAGCTGGATCCTGTCCAGGAAGCAGAAGCATAGAAGGCCCATTCATGGGCAGTGAAGAGGCAGTTTTGCCGGCATGTAGCCCCATTTGGATTCTCCCTGGGAACTGCAGGAGGAGATAGATGTGACTTGCAGTACTTTGGCACATACGGATGATGAAATTCTTCAGGAAAGGTCTGGCGGGGCACCCAGAATCGAAATCCAGGGAGAGGCAATGAGTTGGCAGGACTCCACTGGTGATGATATTCAGGATGTGGGTTCTGAAGGAAAGAGGCTTTGAGACCATGTAATAAGACAGGAACAGGTGGTAGGGCCAGAGAAGGAGACAGAGAACGGAAGTAAATCAACAAAACAGAGGTTCATGGAGTAACAGCAGAGACAGATTGCCCAATAAGCAAGGTAAGCATGTGCTTAAGGCATCAATAAAACAGGGGCGCCACTGTCCAAAGAAAAGACCCATAGATGCCAGGGCACAAGGAAAAGCAAGTGCCACAGTGGAATGGAACTGGCAGGGTGCTAAATAAAATTGATATATTTTATAAATTTTGTATACGATAACAATTATATTTTCCTTTTCATTCCAGACCAATAGGGTATAACCTCACGTTCAGTTCTCTGTTATGGATCACGAAGAATGAGCCAGCGGCAGTATAATCACGTGACTCGTGACGTATCTGGTCCTGCCTAGAATGAACCAAAACTCATCTTCAGATTGAGCACACACTTGTATTTGTATCATGCTCTTTGCAGTGCTTACGCCCCCACTGGGTATCAGCAGGAGTCCAATGAACTGTGAAGACACAGCATCAAAGGATGGAAAGTGAGTGCACAAGATTTTAAGCATTATTTCAAGAGGAAAAACACTGGTACAGATCTGCGAAGGGCCCACCAACAAACATTGCACAACAAACAAATGAAATTATTTCCAACTTCCTTGTAAGTACTATTTCTTTTGACTATCTCAGACCTGAAGAACAAAATTACATGTTCTAAGTCATTTTTTACTTACTAATTTTCAAATACAAATTTTTGTGTTAAGGTTCAAATTCGAATGTAAATTGTACCTGTTTTATACATTTTATTTACAAAATTTATTTATATTTTCAATTATTCAAATTTATTTGCTACAGTAGAACCAGATTTTAAAAGTAACATAATTTTATGTTCAGGCAAAACGAAATGGCAACAACTAAGTGGAGGGCAAAAACGAAAGCTCATGGAAGCTAAAAAAAAGAAAAGGATTTGTGAATGGCTAAAGACAATTCCAAAATTAACTTCGTTTTTAAAATGTAATGAATCAGAAGACTTCTTCCACTGAATTCTAGAATTTAATGGATGCAAATCGCTGTACTAGTACTGCTAGTGCTGAAATTACTAATAGTAACACTAATAATAATAATGTTTGTTCCAAATTCTGCATCCATTCCTTGCTGTAGGAAAAAAATTAATAATGGTGTAGAAAATGAAACTATTTTAGAGTTATCTCATTCTGCTAAAACGGCATACGCCACATTTGTGTTCAGTTGCTAATATTATAGTAGTAATTTAAAAAGAACTTACATCATGGATGGCCAAGACACACACACACACACACACATATATCTCCATGTATATATATAACTCACATATCCTGTTCAACTGCATGAGTAAGCAGACAAGGGGGCACCACAGATTATCAGTGTTTAGGGCCTTCACATGCCTTAATCCGGCCCTGGGTAACAGAGAATTAACAGGGGCAGAGAAAGAAAGAAATAGGAGGGCTACGAAAGGTTATGCCTCTGGGGATGTGAAGGTTCCATGTCGGTTTTAAAAAGGAGATTTCAACAGAGCTGTGAAGCTGGAGGTCCGATTTGGCAAGTGAGAAGTAAAAGCAGATGACTGCTTCAAGATTTAGTGTGAACAGGAAGGAAAGGACAGGATGATAATCCAAGAGAGGCTGCAGGGAGAGAACGATGACTAGTTTTTAGACTAGTCCTTGGCATATTTTAGGCAGGAGAGAGCATGCAAATAGAGGAGGAGGAATTGGAGATGACAGATACAGTATGAACCAAAACAAACCAGTTGCCACGGAGTCAGCCCCTACTCATGGTGACCCATGTATATGAGAGTAGAATTGTGCTCCATAGTGTTTTCAATGGCTGATTTTTCAGAAGCAGATCACCAGGCCTTTCTTCTGAGGCAGCTCTGGGTGGACTCTAACCTACAACCTTTCAGTTAGCAGCCACACTCGTAAACCATTTGCACTGCCCAGATACTCCACAGTGTATGGAGGGACGAGAGGAAAGAAGGAGGCTCGCCTAATTGATACATTAGGTCCATGGAGGCCATGAAACAAACGGCTTAAACACACATTTGACATGTGTGAATAAAAAGCTGGGTGGATTCAAAAAAATAGTTAACAAGTAAAAGGAAAATAGTTTTATTAATTTTAAGTTAGAGAGATGAGAAAAGTGAGAATGATAACCTTGATGCTCTCCGTGCTGTTGGTTCTAGGCTTATGAATGATTCTAAAGACGCTCACAGACCAGTGCCACCCAACAGAACTTTCTGTGATGATGTCAGTGTTCATTCTGCACAGTCCAGGGTGGTAGCCACTAGCAGCATGTGGCTAGTGGGCACTTGAAATGTGGCTAGAGTGACTGAAAAACTGGGTTTTTTTCATTTTATTTAATTATCATGAATTTAAATGTAAACTCCACATGTGGCCAGTGGCTACCACATTGCACTTTGCAGGTTAAATCTTGAAATCTTCTTGTTCCAAGGGATCTGTTCTCCCCAGGCAGGACCACTATTTGCTGCAGAATGTGAGGGACAACCTTCTTCCTTCCTGGGTGTGTCCTCAGTCTTGGTAAAGAGACCTTTGTGTCCCCTCACCCATACCTTCCAGCGCTGAATTACCTTCTCAAAATGATACCAAAGACTAATCCTATCATGCATTTGGTCTGTGTTCGCCTCAGTCCCCACCATAAATCCAAACCTTTCAGGTCATTTTTATCATTATCAAAACCTTTACTAACTCTACTCTAAATTTCCCTAATCAGACCTCACTCCCTACCATTCCCTGTCATCCAAATTATGTTGCTGCACCACCCAGAATTCATGTCTCCTTTACCTTCTTGCCTTAACTGAATCTTATCTGTCCCCTAATGCAAATGGGGACAGTCCCTGGAGAAGGACATCATGCTTAGCAAGATAGAGGGTCAGCAAAAAAGAAGAAGACCTTTGGCAAGGTAGATTGACACAGTAGCTGCAACAATGGGCTCAAACATAGCAATGATTGTGAGGATGGCACAGGACCCAGCAGTGTTCCGTTCTGTTGTACATGGGGTCGCTATAAATCAGAACCAGCTGGATGGCACCTTACAACAACAATCAAATGGAGAAATGTTTCCTCTTGCATTCCACATACTTCCAGTCAGAGAGATGGGTAGATACCCTGCTCACTCTGCACTGCTGGATCCAAACTGCTCTCCTCTTTACCCCTTCAACGTGTCAGCTCCATTTATGCACATTCCATCAGACTATTCTACCTGCTTCTTCCCCTACTCTTCCTTCTCTTCACTGCACACCAAACCAGCAACTCTGCATCAGACCTTGATGTCTTTAGAACCCTTTCCATGCATTCCTCTCTACACAACTCAGGCCACCACTCTTCGTAACCTCAGCAGCCTCATAGTTGACCACTGTGCACTGATGTCACAGTGCCTCTTCTCCTCTCACTGTCATACCTTATGTTGCTCATTACCATTTCTTTGGGTTCACCATGAGTCGGAATCAACTTGACTGCAAACGACAATATTGTGGTAGAAATACGAATGACATAACATGCAATCTCAACAATTTCTACATGTAAAAATCAGTGACATCTTATTACATTCTTCAAGTTGTGCAACCATTCTAGCTGTCCTTTCCTATATCATTCTACCACTGTTGAAATAAATACACTGCCCCCTAAACAAAAACTTCCTCTTTCCCCCTCTCTCCCAACCCTGGTAACCACGAATAATCTTTGATTTCAATATATTTGCTTATTTCATATAAGTGAGATCATACAGTATTTGTCCTTTTGTAACTGACTTATTTCACTCACATCAGCATGACATTTTCAAGGTTCATCGATGTAGTGGCATGAATCAGAACTTCATTTCTTGTTATGGCTGAGTAGTATTCCATTGTGTGCATATACCACATTTTGTTTATCCACTCATGTGTTGATGGGCATTTCGGTTGTTTCCACCTTTTGGCTATTGTGAAAAGTGTTGCAGTGAACATTGGTGTACAGGTTTCTGTTTGCATTCCTGCATTCACTTGTTCTGGTATATGCCTAGGATTGGGATTGCTGGGTCATTCATTACTGTTTCTTAAATCCAAGCTTCATACCCCTTCTTTCACCTTTTATCCTTAATCTTTCACCTTATTTATTCTAATAATTCTACTAACAGTCTATGGTGCTGCCTTTAGATCGCTCCTTGAAAACACGTTTAATTCTCTCACCTCACTTTCTCTCAATCATATTTGTTGACTGCCAAACTATCCCAAATCTGCATCCAAATACCTGGACTTAATGGGGAAGAAACCAAACCAGTATCATCTGGCTTCACGTTTAAATTCTTGACTGCAAATCTCAAGTCAGTTCCCTGACTGCCAAGCTATTATACCACAAGCCCTGATGTGCTCACTCTGCCTCTAGGCAAAACAGTTTTCCTCATGTCTCTGTTCCTCAATCCACCAACACCCCTCCATTCAACCTAGGCTGATGACTTTGTCTCAATTATTGGTGAGAAATGTGAAGCAGTACGATAAAACTCCCTCAACTTCCACTACTAAACTTACTAACTTACATTGCATTTGTACCTGCCCTTCCCTGGTGGCTCAGTGGTTAAGAGCTTGGCTGCTAACCAAAAGGATGACAGTTCGAATCCACCAGCCACTCCTTGGAAACCCTATGGGGCAGTTCTACTCTGTCCTATAGGGTCGACATGAGACGGAATCGACTCGATGGCAATGGGTTTTGTTTTTGGTTTTTGGTTTTCTTCTCATTTATGTCCTATTATGATGGATAAAGCCCTGCTCCCATCAAAGGCTAAGATGCAGTCTGTGCAATTCTATTTGGAACGTACACTTGTGTTTTGGTTGCTAGACATCCTCAGTTTCTCAAGTAAGACTTTAATCAAATAGTTTTCTACTCCTTGCCCTACATCATTAATTTCCCTTCTTCTACTGGATTAAGTATTGTTTATCTTAACAACAAATCCTCTTTTGACCACTCCTTCCTCAGCAGTTGTTGTAACTGCCTATCTAATGTCTTTATATGTATAACTGGGGGTATCTGGAAAAAAAGGATTCTTGATTTCTAACCCTCCTAATTTTTCCTTCCTCAGCCTCCCCGTCTCAGCTGCCCCATCCACACCATCATATACACTTTGTTGACCAAACTAAAAGCCTGACATCATCCTTGATTCCTGTATTTTCAACCCATCAGTAAGTCTTCTCAGCTCTATCTTCAGATTATATCCCAATTCTTCCCACTTCTCTCCATTTGCACTTGCTTTTCATCTGTACTATCTTAATCTAAGCTAATAGTGTCTCCTGCCTAGACTTTTGCAATTAGCCTTCCCACTCATCTCTCTGTTTTCTCTTTTGCACAGCAACCAGAGCAGGACATGCCAAGGATCAAGTGACTGTTAACCAGGTGTACAGACCAGGTATTGATAGAGTAGGTGAATGCAAACACATGAAAGGAAGAAGAAACATTCCCTAACTCTTTCTATGAAGCTAGCTTTACTCTGGTACCAAAACCAGACAAAGACACCACAAAAAAGAAAACTACAGACCAATATCCCTTATCAATATAGATGCAAAAATTTTCAACAAAATACTGGCAAGCAGAATCTAACAGCATATTAAAACAATTATACATCATGATCAAGTGGGAT